TTCAGCTGTCGAACTGTCAACTTTTTAACCAATGAGATTTTATGGACTTCTTTAAGTAGCCAATCAAAAAGCGAGAAAAGCTATTGACAATGTTCTCGTCATTTTAAAAAAAAATTCACTTATCTTTATTTACGGCAAGTTTACGGCGTCTTTTCCCCTCATTTGTTGTTTTTTTTCTTTATTTTGGATTTATCATGGTTTGTGTTACCAAAAACCTATGTCGCGCAGAGGACTAATCAATGTCCTCAATGACTGATCATGAGGTTAATGTCTAATCGATGGCAGTTTTTTTGTGGCCTATCGATTATTCATCGATTACTCATTTATCATAAGCGATAGTTGACAGTGACTAATCAACTGTTGGGGCCGGTAGGGCTGGGCTTTGCATGCCCTCCAGTAGGTCTGAGGGTTAATTGAAAAGTGGAAATTAAGACTGTGAATCGGATACTCATGCTGAACATCAGCATTATCCACTGCTATTTACTGAGTATCATTTATACTGAACAGACGTTACAGAACTATAAACGTTTTGTTTATTATTTATGGTAGGTTGGCTCAAAAACTAATATAAGCAAACTTCACTGCCTGTGTAATCATCTATCAGCATTTGGCGGAGACTTTTTTGTGGCCGCAAATCCCATCGACTTTGACAAAGTTTGGGTTCAGTTTGGTGAACAGGGAGAGACTGGAAACTTTGTTATGGCTGTGGTGTTTTGTATATACGGAGTGTATTTTGTTAGTTTAGTTTTGGCTCGACGTGCTGACAAGAAAGACCAAGAAAAGGTGCGTTTTTAGAAATGTTTTAATAGAAAGATTTTCTTGTCACTTGCAAATACACTATGTACTTCTGAAAAATTGCTTAGATCCTGGGCCAAGTCAGAGTAACTGGGAATTAATGAGCTGTTGGACAGGCTTTGAGGAAGATTATTTAATATTACATGATGTGTTCTTGTTTTAAGATTTTTACTCTCAAATATAACTTGAGTGTTTAAAAGAGATGTGTGCATTAGTGGACCAGCTAACAATCCATGCAGTATCGCGCCTCTAAAGCGAAGGTTGGCTGTGAGCCAATGAGAAAGCACTGATGTCATTCTCAAACCGGTTAAACGAGTTTCTGAGACCGGCTGGATTTAATTTTTGTTTTTAAATGGCGGACACCTCTTGTTAGATAATGGTCAAATCGGTTTAAAACTAACGGGAGAAAAATTCCGTTGCATGAGGGACGTTTTGTGGCGACTAATTGGCAACGTAACTAAACAAATATTTTTAATTGTTTATAAATAAATGATAACATTTCTTGAGTAACTTATCGACACTCGATACCAAAGCAATTAGTAATTAGTATGTATGTTCAAACAATGCTCAACTAGGCATTTCCCAAATCACCTGGAGTAATTTATAGTTAGTCAATATACCCCATTTATTGTACCCCTTCAAATTCGCAATTAACCAATCAGAAGCCATGTTTACTGTCCTGATATCCTGCGATATCAGGTCAGTGCCTGTTATGGCTACGATATCGTGGTCACTTGGCGGAATTTGGATACGGCAAGTCGTACCTTTTGGTACACTTCGGCGGCATATCAATCTCCTTTGGTCTCACCATAGGCATTTTGACTCGACTACGTACGTCTCGCCAAAATACGAACCTTGGCTCGACCGAAGTAGCCTGATATGCCGCCGAAGCATCCCAAAAGGGTTCGATTAGGTATAAGTACTCGGTGTTCGAATACTGCTTGCTAAAATACTCTGATTAATTGGAGCAACTCAATTTGAAATCACTCCGAGCAGTGAAAAAGTTGTGAACCTCAAATAAGTCATGGATACTAGCAATTACGAGAAATAGCTATTGTTGTAAAGACAATACCTGAAAACAAGTAACCTGTTCGTGTAACAAAAGAGCCGTTGTCAATGTCAAGTTCTGTTCAAAGGATGACAACTGTATTTTATCTTGAGTCATTCGCAAAGATTAAGACATCAAGAGCTCCGCAAGGCGTCGCACTAGTTTGCTGGAGAGATAGGTAGACGACAATAGAAACGAATCGTTTGGGATAAATGGCCACAAATGTGACGAGTTTAATTGAAACTAAGGTTGCAAACAAAGATTCAAATCTCTTCAGGAGAGGTGGAGTTAAAACTTTCGCCACCAGCGAAAACTAAAGTAAAATACTGTATAAGATATGTTGACAGCCTGCGGGTCGGTGACCGGGGAGGTGGAGGGAAAAAGAACAAATAAGTCTGAACGCTAAAAAGCAGAAAAGTTCTTCTTGCGATGATGGCAATAGTAAAAAGGGGCCGCGTGTACGAGATAACCAACCTTTTGTACTTAAATTTGACGCGCGCCCATTTTTCATTGGACAGGAGACTTCCATTGTTACCAGATTAGAACACAAGCCGCAAAATGATAAGACAGGAAATGCCTCGCGATATATATAAAATAACATTATGCTTTCGGTTATCGGCATAATGTTTGTTTTTTAAATAAATATCGCTGATTAGCTGACATGAAATGCAACGGTAAACATTTTGCCATCCGTAATTCAATTTGCGAAAACGTTTAGACCTCCGGCGCGATTTAACTCATTTCGGGTGGTCTTCAGAACGCGATCTAAGTTAAACAACCCGCAATTCCATTTTATGTGTTAGGTATAAGGAAGCGAGGGCGGTTGTCGTAAATACCAGGGCTGACAGGCGCATTTGTAAACCCTATCCCTCTCTCGTTCTTATTCTGACAATGAACAAACCATGATTTCTTGTTTTAAGGCTATCCCTGACGTTTTACCCTTTTTGAGCTGACACTATAGAATTTATTGGCCAGTTCGTAGGCTTTTAACATTTTTGTGTTTTCCTTCTAGTTTGTGGCAAATGTAGTCCTTAGCAGATGCAGCCCGACAGACTACACATATGAGATTCAAATCCAAACAGGAATCTGGCAAGGCTTTGGTACAACAGCCAATGTAGGAATAAACATTTTTGGGGAGGAAGGCAGTAGCGGTCCAATAATTTTAACAGATTTCTCACTCTGCGGAAAAGTATTTTACCGTGGAAGCGTCACTAACTTTTTTGTGTCTCTTCCCCGTTGTCTTGGTAAATTGGTCAAACTTTGCATTTGGCATGACAATTTTGGTCAAAGTCCATCTTGGTTTCTTCAACAAGTGACGATCACTGAGTCTCATACCAGAAATAAATGGCATTTCTTTGCAAACAGATGGATCGCTGTAGAACGAGGATCAGGGAACCTTTTACTGGAACTAAAAGCTCTAGGTGAAAACGACCGCGCTAGGTTTAAAGATGTGTTTTGGTCCAAGATTTCAGGAAAATTAGGCGATGAACACCTTTGGGTGTCACTGTTTACTCGCCCGCCTACCAGCCAGTTCACTCGTTGTCAGCGACTGTCTTGTTGTTTATCGTTTCTCTTTTCATCAATGGTAGCCAACGCCATGTTCTATCAGTTTTCTGAAAGGCCAACACATACTTTTACGTTTGGACTGATGGTGCTAAGCTGGAGACAGATTATGATTGGTATACAAAGTGGTCTTATAACGATCCCTGTTAATATGGTGATTGTTACGATCTTCAGAAATGTGAAAGGGCATCTTAACACGGATCATGGTCCTAACTTAACCTCTCCTGACAAACAAAGAGCTTGTCGACTACCGCATTGCTTTGTTTTCATTGCCTGGAGTTTGTGTATGTCGGTGACACTAACTTCTTCAGCATTTACAGTATTTTACAGTTTATCATGGGGTGCAGAGATTTCCAACCAATGGCTTACTTCTATTTTTGTATCTCTTGTTGAAGATGCAATTATTATTCAGCCAATTAAAACAATTTTCCTGGCCATGATCTTGTCACTAGTAATCAAAACTCTTCCAGGGAAGCAAGATGTTTGTGGGTCTACTATTTATATCGACAAAGAACACGAATATCATGCTCCAAGCGAGCACTTACTAAGCAAGGCCAAAGAGTTTAGAAAGAAACTTCTTCAGATGTCTAGAGCGATAAGAAACGTTGCTGCATTCCTCATATTTTCTCTTATGTTGATGATAGTCTGCTATGGCAACAGAGACTCGACGCGATTCTCTATGACTAAATCTGTGAAGGATATATTCAGAGGGTTCGAAAAGGTAAAGGAAATAATATGACAAGAAATAGGAATGATGCAAATGTGATAACGCAATTAGGTACTGAGGCAAAATTCGTCACAGTTTTACCTGGATGATTATTGTTGCAGTAATACCACTGTCCGCTAGCGCATAGGCAGAAGGATTAGCCGACATTCGCAGACGCAGGAAGATGCTGATAATTAGCGCCAGTTTAGGGCAGTTTTCTAACAAAAGGTGCTACTTAACAGCACATAACTCCACATGCGTATGTTGTCTATGATTGTTTCAATCGTTAAAACCAGCCTTAAAATGAAATTGGGGCTTCAACCTAGCTGTAATTGGGCATAAGCGAAAAAGGCCCTGGACACCTTTTAGACTTGACACACTCAAACATATCTCTTAGCCCCCACTGATTTTTTACAAATTTCTACCATGAGATCGAGGGTTTCGACCTCTCTCGGTTCATAGCGTGAGAAAGACCTCAGGGGAGACAAACTTAATCATCGCCTTTGATTGTAAGGCAACACAAACAAGCGCGTTTTATTTTATTGTTTTGAGCTCGTTAAATCTTTATCGTCGACTATTCATATAAAGAAAACTCAAAGCCGTTCAAAATGTCACAAAATGTCTTGTCATTTGAAAACACACCCTAGCGTACGGCTAGTGTATGTTAAAAATCTCTGGTGTTCTGAAATGCCCATCATGTCAATATATGACAGCGTGGTCATGACTCTCGCGTGTTCATTTGTGGATTAAAAGTGCAATGATGAGTCAAGATGACTTGTTTCTCTCGGGAGACTGTTTTAACGTTTAGCTGTGTTTAACACGAATGTTTTGCGTTGAACTGTGGATAACACTTTAGCGCATGCCATATCTG